TCAAGGGCAAGAAAGGGTCATGAGGGATTAAAGCTGTATGATTAGGTTACAGGGGGAACCCAAGGCCTAGAAAACATGTTTTATATTATAAGCAAGCTGAGTTAGTGTTAAAACACATAAGATTAACTTTTTGGTTACAAGGTTAGGTAAAAGTTATTTGTCAAGAAGTCATTCCCACAATTCCCCCTTGTTTGTTTTATATAAGAAGCATGTCCATATTTGTAAAAGCTACTCCCACTATGATGGACTGTACACTCTAACCAAGAGCCCAAATCAACACTTCACCCTCAAGCTGCTTTTGTCAGGGTATTTTTATCACAACAATGAAGAAAGTAATACACATGGCATAGGCTTTAATGGTTATCAAATAAGAACTCATTTTATCATTGTAAAAGCTCTATTAAATAGATATTTTTATGCCCATTTTTTTCAGAAGGGGGAATTGAAATTAAATGCCTTGTCCTAGGCCATGTAAGTAGCAAAGGTGAGACTGAATTCCAGGCAGTCTGGGTATGGCGTTCAAGCACTGAGCCTCTATACCATATTGCCCGTCTAGTTTGCTTTCACTGACTTAGAGCCTATGTGTATGTGGTTGGGTTGGTGGAGAGTGGAGAAGTTTGAGGTATAAGTTAGAGACTTTGTATATGTAATGGAATCAAGCAACATTTGTATCTTTCACTACTGGTACTCTAGAAAGAACATGGATTGAGGCTTAGGCTGGGAAGGAATTGGAAAGGATTGATGTTGCTCTACAGAGACTAACCTTAGAGAACAGCATGAAGAGAAACTTCTGGTTCTTCAGCTTTTCCTTCCCCCTACCTCTCTATCTTGGCCTCTCACTCAGTACCTGCAGATTATACTTTGGATTTGTATGGGTCAGTTTAGAGAAAGACAACAGGGATAGGGTGAAGAATCATTTCTTGTGGTGGTTGGACTATTTGTACATAAAGCCTCAAACATTTCCATTTCTGGAATATTGACATGTAATTACAGATAAGCTGTATTTCAAAACCCTCAAAGGAGGAGTGTTTGATAAAATAATTCTTTAGGGAATCAGGAGCAATTACAAGTCATCACTTCCTAATAAATTAATTTTCTACAGCTTTCCTTTTATACTTACTGGCTCTTTTTAAACTGGAACACACCTGCAGTCTAGCCAGCTCATTCTGCTGACTCTGAAGTCAGGAGACACTTCCAAGACCAGCTCTAGGTTCTCACAGACATCTTTCTAATTATCATATCTCAAGATATGCTCAAGTGGTTCTGCTTTGAAATGAATTTTTGTAATAAAATAAATAAAGTCCTTGTGTGACACTGAAGCTTTAAAAATCATTGACTCTTTCACCTCTTTAACTCTGTGGTTTGGTCACAACATATGGAGTCTGTCTGTAAAACCCAAAGAAAATGCTGCATTGGCAAATCACTGTAATCTGCCTACATGCTCCTTAGGGCCAGGCAGTCCATAAGGCGCTGCTGCTGCTGTTTTCCTTTACTGTGATTGGATTGGGAGCTGTTGTTCAATTGCAGGTTGTTGCTGTTGTACCCCATCCACTGGACCCCAAAAAGACCACCGGGGACCTAACACACCAAAATGCAAAAGCAAAGGTTTATGGTTTATTCGGGCTTAAGCTCGGGCTCTCAGACCTCACCAACTCAACAGATCCGTGCTGAGAGCCCAGAGTAAGGGAGGGTGGAGCCTTTTACAGGTTTTAGACAGAGAGGAGGGGAGTACCGAAGATACATTTTGGTTGGTTCAAGGAGCCCGCGTGAGCCAACATAATTTTAAACTGATTGGATGTATAGGATGCAGCCCTGGAAGTTTCTTATTGGTAGGTGCTATTCTCAGGGCTGTGGAATGTGCTGACTGTTATCTGTGGGGCCAGGAGTCTCCGTTTTTACCTTATAGGACAGTTTTCATACCAGGGCTTGCTTAATCTATAGTTTCCTGGAAGAGGGGGTGGATAGCAGGCAGGGGTCAGGGCATGTCTAGGCGCGTCTAAAGCAGCAGCCAAGCATTTTACAGAAGCTAAAAGAGCAATTAGTGGGGGTCTGGAGGGATTGGGGGGTAGCAGGTGAATGAAGAGGGTCTCAGGGTCCTACAGTTGCTAGGGGTTTCTCTTTCCTTGGGCTGCAGAAGCCATGAATGATGGCAACAGAGATGGCTGGATTGTTTATTGTTGCCACACTAATCCAAGAGCAGGCTGTGATGTACATGGAGCTCTGGCTACAGGGTCAGGAGACCCAATTCTGTTCTCCGAGTACTCTGAAGCACCAGGTCATCTTGAATAAGGTACTTCATCTTACCAGTTTTTGCTTCTGTAAAATGAAAATTTAAACTGGTAGATTGTGTCTAATCTAATTAGGTGACATTTTATAACTCCCCATTGTACAGTCATTAAGATAATCCAGAAGTTATAATGCTATGAGTAATTAAGGACAAAGAAGAAAGGGTCTGTGTCATTTTAATTAAATCCATGGATGAAAATAAACGGGGACATTCTACAGTGATTGTGTGACTGTGTCTTAATGGAGTCCAAAAGAGTTTCCTCTTTGGGAAGTGTGAGCTAATACACCCACAGAGAAATGATTAGGGACAAGGTTATTTATACTAGATGGGAAATGCTGGGAAGCTGAGATTTTTAAATCAATATCCAGAGGCGAGATGTGGGCAGCTGAGGATGTGTAAGAGAACATATAGGTTTGAATTATCCCCTGTGAATATTGATGATAGAGTCACCATATCATGCTAGAAGGAAAGGATAGCAACCTGTGAAATATATATGTACACATTTAGCAATAGGCCTGTGTGTTCACCACCCCAGCCAACTGACAGACCATGTAAGACACCGGAGAGGGGCGAAGAATGTGTTTAAGACCAGGGCGGTAATACTGAATCTGAGCCCCCTATCCCCCAATCAGAGCACACCCTATCAGCTGCAGGGAGGGAGCTGTACCTTCAGGGATGCTTCCTTGGGTTCTTCAGGTAAGCTAACCACATAGATCAATCTGTGCCTGAGTTCCTTGCTATTTAAAGACAGCCCAATGTATTTAACAGACATTTTATTTGCAGGTGGTTAAGCTTGTCTCAACAGCAGAGCTTCAGATGGAAAGTTAGAATAAACTAATGTTATTCAAGCATGTCTCTTGATTTTTTTTTTTTTTTTAAAGGAATGGGTAGAACTAACTACATTTTGTTTCACATCAGTCTTTGCTCAGCTGGTCAGGCTCTGGGTGGAGGGGTGTAAATTTCAGAGGATCCTAGTTGTTCATTTAACTCTGCACCACAGG